GATTGTAAATGGCTGTAACAGCCATAATATATAATATGTGAAGTTAACTTTCATTTGCTTCTTTATCTGTACCGATTAAAAATGAAGCTATATAAAATTGACTATAAATTACATATGAATATTCACGAATTTTTGTCAATACGATCAACTTTATTATGTAAGAAAACTATTTTTTAGCCGTTAGAAATAATCCTGACCTAAACACACACGAATGAAAGAGATTAAAAGCAATGTATTTGCCTATGATTTCCATCCTTAATAATGGGATATTGCCTCCTTATTTTTATACAAGACGTTTTTAATCATTTCACTCCAAGTAAAGCGATAATGCCACTTAGATGCAAGCGGGTAGCCATACTACATTGGTGAAAAAGTAACAAATGGGGATGCCAGATTGTTATGGTAATTTACCCATGTATACATGGACTCTCACAGCTATAAATAGGTGCAGGTATTGCCTTTTGGGGAGGGAAGTTTCCAGCAGTTAGCTCTGAAAGTTGGACCGAAAGTTCTTGCTGTAACACCCTCGTTTGTATATGTTTGTATTACTGTTTTTGTTAATATATTTGTTTAACTCAATTCCTCTATTGCGTCTTTATTTCTGGCCCTAACAAGGCCACAACACAGATCAAAGCTAATACTATCACAGATTCTTCTTTTGATTTTGTCAAAAAAAATCTTGGGGTATATAGTGGGATCATCAAACCAGATATAGCAGCAATATTCAACAGACGAATGGTAGACTTATAAATGTGAAAGATGGTTTCGGACGAAAAAAATTTCTGGCACGACGCAGTGAACCAACTTTCCTAGAAGTAGGCCTAGCAATTGATTCAATACAATCACTCCACTTCATATCAAAGGAGAATATAACCCCTGGAAGGGGCAAAGAAATGCTACCTTGGAGGTTAGCATCAGCTATGTTGGTGGAAGGTTGAAAATATTCTCTCTAATGAGTCAATGAAAGTAAACAGTGTTCTTTAGGAGCTGTTAAAATTTACAAGTTATTCTTTGTCCCATTTTTTAAGCTTTGCATCCCAAGCAAGGCTGGAGTGCCACTAGCATGTTAAGGGTTACAGAGAGTGGGAGCAAGAGTAAAAAGACGTGATAGAGGAAAGGATGAAGAGAAGGATGGGGAATAGATCAAGGCATCTGGAGATTGACATTGCATTTGAATTGCTGGAGATTATAGCTCTCAAGGAAACAAGCAAGAGGAAGGGAGTTCCACAGACAGGTAGTGTGAGACTTGAAGCTATTGGAGTAGAAGAAACGGCTACATTTAACAGTTTCGACAGTGAAAAGGTAGGAGTGAGATACCGTTCTAGTGGCACGTTTAAATTCATACAGTTTGGGAACTAGCGAAAGTAGCTCGTCGGAGCAGTTACCGTGAAAGTATTTGTAGAAAAGACAGAGGGAAGCGACGGCGCATCTGTGAGAGAGCGACTGTAAACGAGATGCCAGATCAGGGCCAATCATATGGATTTTGTTAAGAACCTTAAGATGAACGGCGGGGGTTCCAGACCATATATGGCAGCAGTATTCCTTGCAAGGACAAATGGTTGATTTATAGATTTGAAGGATGAACTCGAGTGAGAAAAACTTTCTGGTACGACACAGAGAACCAACTTTCCTTGCGGTAGATGAAGCTATAGATTCAATGTATTTGTTCCATCTCAGGTCAGTGGATAGTATGAGACTAAGCAGTCGTCGAGAGGTGCTCGTTTGGAGTTGAGCATCAGGCATTCTAATGGGAGGCCGTGGGGGGATCACTGTAGTGGGAAATAGACAGCAGTTTTGTTTTTGAGGCATTAAAGTTAACCAGCCATTTCCTGCCCCAGTCAACAACTGATTGGGGGTCTTTTAGTTAACCACTAATTGCATGCCATTATCGAGAGCAGCTACTAGTTTTACTTCGTTTGACTTGTCGGACTTGCTATTAAGACAGGAGTAAGTAGTTGTGTCGTCAGCCTAAATACCTAGTTGAGAATTGATTACAATGTGAAGGTCGTTGGTGGAGATTAGAAATAACATAGGTTCAAAGATCGCTGGATATTGGATTCGAATCAGATTTTCATAATGTTTCGGTCTTCCGGCCTTCTTCAGTTGTCTGTCGAACAAGGTAACATTCATGTGGTTAGATAGTTCTCATTCAGCGGTATATATCTAGGGATACCCCGTCTCTATAACCCTTGACATGAATTAAAATACTTTACCTCCACGGATTGAATAAAGTGTTCAGTTTGAAATTCCTTAAAGGCTACCCGTATTTATAGGCACCTGAAGAAGGGACACTGACACAGTGGTCGAAGTGTAACACTTATCCTGACCGCACTAGATCGATGTACTCTACAAGAACGGCTTTTGGTCCTGTCTTGGTCCAGTAATACAGGTTCAGTCAAACTCTCCGGTTCACAATGTCGATTAGATTCCAAAGAAAAACTTATGCATATGTATATAAGGAAGAAATTGGTACAAAAAATAATGCTTCTTTTACAAGAAATAGTGTATATGAAATAAAGTCCAGGAAAAAGAAATTGCAAATAATTCTTAAAGGAGTGAAGTAGTTTTTGGGTTCACCCATTTTGTTCTTAGTGGTTGCTGCAATTATTTCACCATCAGGATATAAGAGGGTCCACTGGCATTATTGCGCCAATATCGCAGATAACTTGAGTTCACTTCCTCCCTTATTACAGCAGCAAGCAGACGCTTTCACTCTCACAGCCCCCCTCTCTCTCTCTTCTCTGTCTCATCGACTGCTTGTCAACTAACTTCACTCAGCTCCAATTCCAACTTTAACTGTTTGTTTTCGCACAAACACGCGCGTAAATAACGCGGTGGTTGCGACAAAACCCCGGGGTGTTGGTAACTTAGAATATAACCTGATTACTGACCTCTCTCCATTCATGATCAAATGAGCAGCCTCTTCTTCTCAATTGGTATTCCATAGTTCATATAAACACTATTGTTTTGACATTTTATAATAATAATTCTGACGAAGCACAGATTCTCTGGGCACAAACTTCACCACAAATATTTCTCTCATCTATAAACAAAAATTCTATATTAATATAATTATTAATATTTCAAGGGTGACCATTGCTCTCTGCCACAGAAGTGTCCTGATCGTAATAACAGTGATGACTGTAATTCACCGAGTGTAAGGATAGGGTTATGGATAGTATCTTTCTTATGTTCATTTACGCACAAATACTCTCAGGAAAAGTAAAAATCCATCGCCTTCCCCAGGTATGGGTTAAATAGAAGGATTCGAATCTGGAAAAATTATTTTTTATTTTAAAAAAAGTTGTTAATGCAATATTCACTCGCAAAAAGGAGAATTATTCTCACAATGCAAAGTATCTTTCAGTTTTAAATAACCTACACCAGGTTGATAAGCCATAAAAAATAAAAAAATTAAATCCAACCTGTTTGTAAATAATGTAAAATCGTGATTTCTCTCTTAGTAATGAAATATTACGTTCTTAATCTTGCATGAAATATATTACCATAACGGAATATGTCATTACTAAGGAGGGGAGCCATTTTTTATTTTATATTATACATGATTCCACGAGACTATAATGCAAAATAAACTTTGTTTAACATCTTATTTAGGATTTTCATATATATATATATATATATATATATATATATATATGCCGTGCCTATGAACACTAATGGGTATGTCCCAATCCTTGTAAGTGAGGGGTAATATGCTTTTTAAGTAATCCACCACTAGAAGTGGTTTACCTACTTCACGCCGCTGGCGAGTATTGTATTTTGTTGATGTTATAAAGATTACCATTTCATTTCCAACCTCCGTTTTGATTATTCCTCATTCAGTTATCCTTTTCTAGGTTGCAACAATATATATATATATATATATATATATATATATATATATTATGTTTTATCATGAGCCTTTCCAAGCGTCGTATAATGGTCTTAGTTTCAAGAGAAAATAAAGACAAAAACTGTACAACATTTGGATATTTCTTTATTTTATTGGTCGTCGACCTAAGCTTTGAAATAAAACATAAGACATTCGTTGTCTATTATATTTAACAATATATATTTGAACAATGACCTGCTGTCTCTCTCTCTCTCTCTCTCTCTCTCTCTCTCTATATATATATATATATATATATATATATATATATATATATATATATATATATATTAATTCTAATTCTTTTTTGCTCTAAACCTCAATGAAGCCACGGACTGCAAAGCTAAGTATCACGCATTGACATATACTTGAAAAAGGCCGCAAGGCAAACTGACAGAAACGATAAGGATATTAGTTCATCTATAAATAATGATAGCTTCTCATTAGTTCATCTATAAATAATGATAGCTCTTCATTAGTTCATCTATAAATAATGATAGCTCCTCATTAGTTCATCTATAAATAATGATTGCTCCTCATTAGTTCATCTATAAATAATTATAGCTCCTCATTAGTTCATCTATAAATAATGATAGCTTTTCATTAGTTCATCTATGAATAATAATGGCTCCTCATTAGTTCATCTATAAATAATGATAGCTCTTCATTAGTTCATCTATAAATAATGATAGCTCTTCATTAGTTCATCTATAAATAATAGCTCTTCATTTGTTTATCTTTGAATAATGATAGCTCCACATTAGTTCATCTATAAATAATGATCATCATCAACTCCTCATCCCAGAAATTCAGACAGAAACCGGCTACAGCATAGTCGCTTACTTGATTCGTTTTCTACGGGTTATCAACCCTTTGCAGATTATTTAAAGCCAGAAAATATTTTTACATTCTAAAATGTTTTTGGATATAATAATGATTTCGTGATACAAGTCTTACTAATTAACCCATAGATGGGGAAAAGTGATGAATTCATATATTCCTCGAGGGCCTTTGTGCGTACATGACTATAACGAACCCAACTGGACTTTAAACTCGGCTCTCTGATCAACAATTCCGAGCCATTATGTATTACCCTAACCGCACGCTAAAGCTTACAACACCTGGTATTCCCAAGCGTTCATACATCTAGGTAATGATCAGGCTCGACGTTGCTTAACTTTGGTGATCATACGGGAACCGGTTTTTCAACATGATGTCGTCGTAAACAGCCTACTTGCTTGGCAATTTTTAATAACGCAAAAAAAAAAAAAAACCAAGCCGGGTATTATTTCATCAACACTCCAGCTACGAGGAACAGTTGCTCTGTGAATGGGACTCAAGTTCACTTTAGACGTCAAGTGAAAACAACATATATACTGTCCATTGCTAAAGATCCCGGAAATAATGGTCGGTTCACTCTTGGATTCCAGCAAGTACTTTACTCCTTCTGCCATGATTTATCTTTACAACAGACAGATCAAACCAAAAATAGGGCCAGTCAGCGAATTAAGTGCCACACTTGAGCGATCATGCATCTTTCGATACAAGATATTTCCCGCAGTAGGTTGCTGTAAACTGTTTGCCAACAAAGGCTAAAGAACTCAGTCTATCCTGCTATTCAACCCATGGGGAGAAGATATGGATTCATACCTTTCCCAGTGGTATTTGCTGCTTAAGTGAATATAATGAACTTGAATGGAATTCGAACTCGGCTCTTCTAGTTCTCATCCCGAGTCGATATCCATTACACCACGACACACATGGAATATTGCTGTTATAAATAGACTGGAGCTACCTAATGATCCTTTCTAGCCTTGATAGACTTCAGGACCATTTGCACGAAGAAAACCTTTGACGCTGCAGCTACTTGTCCACAGTTCGTTTTTCCTTGTTTTATTTCAGTGGAGTGACACAGCATTTCCTGGGGGAAGCGAGAGGGACATTGAGAGAACAGATATCAACAGATTAGTCAACTACCCACCACGACGTGGTGGCCTGTCGGCAGCCTTGATAAGGTGCAAAATCATGTACGCGACCGCGTGGTTGATGACATTTTCCATTCTACATCCCCTTTCCCCGCATACGCAACGTCGCACGCCTATCTTTACATTATAGTCACCTATAGTCACTTTCATGACACATGTTCAGATGAGCGCCATTCTTTAGTTTCACCTATTCAGACCTTAATAGCCAATAGACGCCAGGACTGTGTCCATGGAGTTAAACGACACTTACTCCGTATTCCATTCATAAGTTCCACTCGGACACATTTTTTCCCCAAAGAAACTACTGCTTTGTGAAACAGACTCCCGCGTGGATGCTTCCCCGAACGCTACAATTTTACCATGTCAAGAGTCAATAGTTATCTATCATCCATGTTCACATAATCCCCAGTTCCTTCAACCCTCTTTCGGCAACCCTCTATCTTTTGAGCTTTGCGTTGAATGGACACTAGTAAAAAAATGTTTTACGCCATCTTCGTAAATGTCGACTTATGCACGGGACACCAGTGAGCATCGAAGTAATGATCAACTAATTAATGGTCAACTAAGTATTGTCCAATAAGTAATGATCAACTAATTAATTACCACTAAGTAATGATCACTAAGTAATAAACAACTAAGTAATGATGAACTAGCTAATGGCCACTAAGTAATGATCAACTAAGTAATGATCAACTATTGAACACTGAGTGCAATTAATGACCAACTAAGTATTAACCATTAAGTAATGATGAATTAAGTAATGACCACTAAGTAATGACTACTAAGTAATGATCAACTAATGACCATTAAATAATGAACAACTAACTAATGATCATATAATGACTAAGTAATGATCATTAAGTAATGATCAACTAAGTAATGATCATCTAACTAATGATTAACTAATTAATGATCAGCTAAGTATTGGCTACTAAGTAATGATCAGGTAATCACCACTAAGTAATGACTATCTAATAATGATCACTAAGTAATGATCAACCTGACTAGTCTCGTTAATCATTATCCTATGTCGAGATGCACGCTGTACATTTGTTTATTGCAGATAGATAGATAGATAGATATAGAGAGAGCGGAATTATTGCTGACTACAGAAGTAGAACCGTAAGCGAAAATATTTATACCAATATGACCGCGTTATTGATAAATGTCGTTACGAAATAAACCATAAATACATGACCTTTGATCCGAAAACCACAAACGATAAGATTTTTGCATTGGCATTTCTTTCTTTTTTCTTTCTTTCTTTCTTTCTTTTTTCTTTACCGACGGACAAACATTTCCAGACTCGGACATTTTTATCGATTTTGAGACGTGAACTGCGATATGTTTTGGCACGCGCATGTTTTGTTTTCATTACTTATTCATTCTTTTTAATTTGTTTGTTTTGAGCTGAGTCTTTTTCTTAGTTTTTTTTTTCTTTTACATATAAACGCAAACGGGACTGATTAGCGTCAAGTTATTTGAAGACTTAATTAAAAAAAAAACAAAAAAAAACAAAAAAAAAAAAGCTGATGTAAATTGAAGTATAAACAAAGACATAGGCGTGCACAGATACGTACGTATGCGCTAATGCAGAAAAGGGCTCTGTGTTCGTATGACTGCATATCTCTTGACTGTGCTTAATGTAGTTTGGCATACGGTCAGAAGAGTCCTCTGGCGTTTCTGCATGGGGTCATGATTAGCGAAGTTAGCAGATGTAACCATGACTGCTGCATAGAGCAGCGTTTCTCAACCGGAGTTCACCGGAACCCTAAGGTTCCGCAAAAGGTCTCCAAGGGTTCCGCGAGAACAGGTGAGATAAGCTAATGCAATTGTGACTTTTTATTGAATTTCATATACGTAATATTACTAAACACACGCACAATATATTGCAATATTGTAATATAGACATCATCCTATCTAACCTATTATGTTATTAAAAAAATATAACAATCGTTGGGAATATATTTAGTGATGTTTGTACGGAGCCAGTATGAAAACCATCTTCACTAATCAGTGCCAAATCAGCGAACGGGACTCGGACTTAAAGTTACTAATATCTTTGTTTTTTTTTCTTGAAAATTCCCTGATGAAGTATTATAAACAAACAACATGAATTTTATTTAGCATTACCGAAAAAAATTGAAAAAGAAGTATTAATTTTTCCTTAAACCAGTCATTCAAAAATATATACTATGATATTTACCACTTGAACTACGATGAAAATAAAATGAGAAAGATATGGTGAATAATTTTGTTTTTGTGCAGGGGTTCCTTGAGACATGTCATTTATTTTAAGGGTTACGAGAAACGCTGATCTACGCATTTATAAAGTAACTTTTAAACAATGACTATAAAAGATTAAAAAAAGAATCATAAGGAATAAAAAATAAATAAATAAGGAATAAAAAAATAAACAAACACCACCGACAACAATTATAACAACAGTTTTATGGAACGCACAGACAGAACAATGAAAGTTAATCGCCCAGACATCGTGATCAAAGACCACAAAAACAGAATTTTCTTTCTTATTGACATAGCAGTTTCCTGCAGATTTTAATATATCTTTGAAGATCTTCAAAAAAAAAAAAAAACTATCAAAATACAAGGCTTTCAAGTGGAAATCTAGAAAAATGTGGCACATGAGGCCCCGAATTTGATTAGAAAAGATTCTGATAGACTCACTGACGGGATTTCCTTAAAGAAATACAAAAAAATATTCTCACGTCTACAGCTCACACAGTATTAAACTAAACCACAGTATTAAATTAAAACCAAGTGAAACTTAGAGAGCATAAAAAGCTATTAAAATATCAGGACCTTGCCAGTGAGCTAAAACCATGCGCAAAAGAAAGATGACAATAATAACTATTATTATAGAAATGTTGGCGGTTTTTATAAGAGTTTCGATCACGTGATCTATGGAAAGAATATTTTGATAATATTGGTTAAAACCCAAGATAATCATGTACACGACCTCGTGGTGTGATGACATTTTCCACTCTACATCCCCTTTCCCCGCATACGCAACCGTCACACGCCTATCGCTACATTATAGTCACTTATAGTCACTTTCATGACAAATGTTCAGATGAGCGCCAATCTTTAGTTTCACTTATTCAGACCTTAATAGCCAGTACACGCCAGGACTGTGTCCATGGAGTTAAACGACACTTACTCCGTATTCCATTCATAAGTTTCACTCGGACCCATTTTTCCCCAAAAAACTACTGCTTTGTGAAACAGACTCCCGCGTGGATGCTTCCCCAAACGCTACAATTTTACCATGTCAAGAGTCAATAGTTATCTATCATCCATGTTAACATAATCCCCAGTTCCTTCAACCCTCATTCGGCAACCCTCTATCTTTTGAGCTTTGCGTTGAATGGACACTAGTAAAAAAATGTTTTACGCCATCTTGGTAAATGTCGACTTATGCACGGGGCACCAGTGAGCCTGGAATTAATGATTAACTAGTTTAAAGAAATAATAATAATAATAATAATAATACGAAAAGGAAACTGCAATAAATTCATATGAATACTACCCAGACCCGGTTACAGACATAGGACCTGTAAAAATGTTATGGGATTTTACAATACAGACAGAGAGAACAACCCAAATCTAATCGCCCAAACATCGTGATCAGAGACCACAAAAACATGCCTTCTTATTGACATGCAGTTCCAGCAGACTGTAATGTATCTCTGAAGATCTTCAACAAACTATCAATATACAAGGATCTTCAATTAGAAATCTCAACAATGTGACACATGAAGACATCGATAATCCCAGTTGCATGATAGAGTTCTGGAATTGATTGAAAAAGATTCCGATATTTATAGACGGGATTCCAGGTAGCCTATGCGTTAATAAAATGAGAAAGATATGGTATATAATTTTGTTTTTGCGCAGGGGGAGGGTGCGGGTCCTTAAAACATGTAATTTATTTTAAGGGTTACGCAAGTATAAAAAGTTTGAGAAAGGCTGACATAGAGAGTTTGATTCTCACTGGGTGCCCAATACTCATGTCTATGTGTCAAAGTTAACCTTAATAAATAACAGGGTGTTTCAATGTGCGGTAATGGTTAACGAGCTTGACCTGTTTATCACCAAATAGTGAGTTTGATTATCACCGGGTAGAAAATAGTTGTGACCTTGTCCCCAGGCTCTGCTAAGATTAATAAATGAGAACTAAATTAAAGTTAGTAAAGAACGAGACGATCTGAAGTGAAT